AAAGTCAAAAAATTTTTTCAAATAGTTTGTTTCTGATATTCGATGAATCTTTGGTGGATGTGGAAAGTAGCAGACAAAACATTCCTGGCATAAACTTTTGAATTATGGGAAAAGCAATGACTTGAATCGAGGATCTTAAAGCGCAACTGTGAAACAAACTTCACTTAAACTAGAGGATTTTAACAGAAGAATCTTTTAATCGTTGAGTGGACGAACTAATTTCGTCATTCGCTGAGAACTATTGTCGATTACATTTTTTTTCAAGAGCAGCCCTCAAGAGCTATTACTGGTTAAACTCGCTCCATTGGCTTGCCACATTGCCAGGGAGTTTCTTGGCAATAGAAATATAGGTGAGTCGCTAGCATCACCCAGATTTTTACACAGGTTTACTCCTGCGGGTAATCAAATTTCAGCATCGCTCTCAATTGAGCAACAACCCACTGAGCCATTCCATCCCCATTGCCAATTACACAAAATAACTTGAACAAGTGGAAGAACAGATGCAGTTAAACTTTTGGCCCTCGTATGACGTATAATTTCTTCCTCACTAATAGTCAAAATCTATAAGCGCTTTTCGGACAAAATGATTTATGTGTTGGAAGGCGATTAGACTTCAGTACAAAGCTGATTTTATCAGAATAAATCTTGCAAGATGTCGAATCCCAATAAAAACAATCCTAACCCCTAACTAATCACAAGCTGGGCACAGTGAAAATACAGTTCAGGATAGGCTTAATATTTCTATTCCCGAATGATTACCTGACAAAATTGTCTATTCCTAGTAAATGCGACTAGAAAAACTTAACTAAAAATGATATTTAATATTATAAAATAAATAAAGTATTTCATAAAGTAGAGCGCAATGCACTGCATTACTATTTTTAGCCTTGTGAATGAATCCTAATTAGCACCGCGCGGTGTGTTGCTTCAATCTGAACCTTGCATATGAATAGGAATTTTAACTGAGTGATTCAATAAGTGTAGTGATCCTTTATTGTCATAAAATAAAATCTTGCATGAAGATCTGCTTAGGTTAGAAAGACATAGAGAAAGTAGAACGGGGATTTTTAAGTAATGGCCGCACTACATTTCATTATGAACCATCTTTTGGAGGTAGAGGTTGAGCGAAAAAAGTTTGAGAAACAGTTTAGAGAGTACAGTCTGATATGAAGAGCTGAATAGAAAAAAATGCAACGAGTTCGCAGCTCAAGATTCATTACATCTTACTAATAGAAAGCAAGGCTTCAAAGAACGTGGAATAACGAATGTGTTTGGCATATACTAAACGAGGTGTAACGACGTTTACGCGATGTTAATGGAATAAATCAAACTTTGATAGTGTACTAAGCAAGAATAACAGCAAAAATTTTAGGAGAGGTTACGAAGGATTAAAACCGGGTTTAAATGATACTTCAGATGGCGTTAAAGGAAAACGACTTCGAGTTTCAAGGGAGAAGTTCGAGTCTTAAAAAGAAATTGTCGTGGATTTCACCAGATTTTATAACTGCGACATATTTATAATTTTACAATTTATCTATTTTTTTACCTTTAGCACCTAGAACTATTAAAAGCTGCAGCTCGATGTGCCTTGAAGCGCAGGATATATCCAATTCTATTAAATTAACACTATATTTTATTGCTTCTTTCATGGTGAGTCCTTCACGTTCTTGGACAATTTGCTACCGACTTCAACTATAATAATTAGTTATAGTCGATTATTAAAGAGTAACCAAACTCTTCTCCAATTTTCCCAAAATTTATGGATGTTTCTGTCGATTTAAGCCTTTATTTTTTTTCTACATTGCTAACTCTCGACATTTTACCGACATGTTAGTGAAGTTTAATAAATTTAATAAACGTATTTCAAAAAGTGTAACTGCCTCAACACAAATAGAACCATAAGATGCAAGAGAGTTCTGAAGGCAACATCGACATTTCATAGTTTGTCGACCATCCATCATAGCTGACAAAATGAGGTCTGATATGATATTAAAGAGTGTTAAAGAATCATAACGAAGTTTAAGAGGTTTTCGAAGACAAACAATGTAGACTTGAAGGAGCGAAATGAGGGTCCGTATTGGCATCGACTTTTCTGGGCGCATTAACATTACTTTATTCTAATAGTGCAAACGATTTTTTTGTTATCCATTATCTCTTATCAAGTATTAATAAAAAATTCAAAATGTAGGAGAAAAAGAACGAAAAGATAAAATAAAAAGAGCGAATGAACGTGGCACTCGTGGCACTCTCAAATGATACCTAAAATGATCATTTGCGATATTATAATTATTTTTTAAATGGAATCCTTCTGCAAAAAGTAACTTTTTTCAGTTCAACTCTACTTATAGTAAAAAGTAAAAATAAGTATTTGGCTAATTAGCTCAGTACATTGTCGCTGGAGCTCCAATGCTAAGGTTCCACTCTCCGCAGAAGCAGACCTGTCAAAAAACCTGGATGGTATTGGTGACTCACCTGTACTATCGTCAGTGGACTCCCTGGAATAGTAACCACCTATGGTGAGTGCTCTTTAAAAAAATTAAAAAGCAAAGATGGAATCACAGCAAAACCACAAATGTACTTAACAACAGTTGAATAACACGTAAAGAATTAATTGATATAAAATACAAAAATTAACATTTACGTTTTATTTATCGGTTAACGGCAATTTCTCAACAAGAAAAGTCCTTTTTCTCGACTAATAAAATAAATTAAAATACTTTTCCAATCCAAAGAAATATTTAAAAAATTTGCTTTACTAACAAACATAAACCAAAAGCGCAGTCTCCGCCAGCCCCTCCGTTTTTAAATTCGCAGAGCAAATTTTAATATATCAATAAGTAGAACATTTTAAAGTAAATTTATTTTAATTTCAGCGCTAATTAGTGCTTATTCACGAAGATTCCTCGCTTAGTCTCTTTGCGTGCGTTCTTCTTTGTTTCCTTCTGAATTAACTTTGCCATTAACGCTATTCTTTCTGTTCGCAATTCATTATTATTATTATACTTTTAATATAATTCGTTACAGTTGCACCTCAAAACCTAACAGTCGACTTAACAGTTCGCTAGATCTCTCTTTACTACAAATTTCTTAAATCATTCATCCATTCCTTTCAAATACCTTAACAAAATAAATAATCAAGCGAAACTGAAGAAAACTTACCATCAACTCATACAATATAGAATTCCATATTCATAAAAATAGCTGCGTAGTATGCAAGCTGCGAAATAGACCGCTACACCTCAGATGATCATGGGCACTAAAATTCGGAGACCGCAAGAATCCCCTACATTAACTACAACGTTATAAATGGTTTTAGGCCTAGGATTCATTCACAGTGATGTTGGTATTGGTTTATAGACGGTGAAGGTGGAATGGGTAGAGGGATCGAAAAGCGCTAGAATATCTTATTTTGTGCACAAATACAGTTTATTTCGATGAAAACATAAGCGAATATCTAAAATATCTTTTTTTGCTGAAACATAACTTGCATGGATGAATATTTGTTTTTTATGCTCCAATTAATTTAAAAGAAATTGCCAAATAATTCATGAATTATAGAAAATTTAGAGTTTCCGATGCAGCCAGTGACAAAGTGTAAACTAAACGGCAGTGTTAAGGATCTCGCAAGCAATTTCGTATCGCCTAAATTCATAATCCTTACACTTTTATAACATTCGTAATGCACATCGCACTTCCTTCATAAAATGCAGCTGATTTCGCAACATTTTTAAATAATTTCTTAATAAGTGCAAAAGTAGATCAATTTTAAGAAAAACCCTTTTTTTACCAATGTACTGGAACATGGTTTCGAAATTTACGCATATGTATGTAAAAAATTATATAAACTTATATGTATGTAAAAGTAGTGATAAGCGCTTACATTTTTGGCAAGCTCATAGCGCTGCCTGTTGCTATGTTGAGAAACTTTTGCCAAGACAGCGGAAATATAGGTGGAACGCTAGCGCCACCCGAAGTTTGCGGCAGGTTTGTTCCGTCGGAATATTCGAAACCCCTGCCTCTTAACACGATAATCTAGACAACAAACTTGGCTATTTTTTAAATAAAATATCTAAGTAAAAAATCCATTATATCATAATCTGTATGAATATATTACCTTTTCATTGCACGTACTATTTATCTGGAAGTCGCTACAAGATCTAGACACCCCTTTATAATGAAAATACATACATAAAGGGTCAAAATCAAAAAAACATTGGAAAACCGTCTTTCGAGAATCAAACGAATTCGTCAATAATGACCTATTTGTATCTAAATACATCATATTTAAATATATCTAAGCTAATGAAATTATGTCATTTCCGTAAATTTAAATTAGCTAAAGAGGAGCAAAGATAGTTGAGTGTTATGGCTGCTTCGATCTGCATCAAGCTTTACAGCTTCGATTTGAAAGAAGTAAACCTACCATCAAAATATTAACAATCAGCTGAGCTAGCTTAGTCAGATCCTGTGAGTGCTACTCGCTGCATTGCCAAGTTCTACCAGGAAATACAAACGGAATTCGACGTTCAATTTGCCTGTTGATAATATGCGAGCACCACTATGTTCCTAAAATTCAGTCAAAGCAAGTTTAAAAAAAATAAAAAAAATAAACTGAAAAGTTTTAAATACATCATATCCAGTATGATTTATATATATATCCTGTCGAACTTCATCCAAACAGACGAACGGGTTCCAGGAACAATATCAGATACAATTCTCTCCAGAACAGCGCATTGCTCGGAACAGCTAAGATACTGCACACAACCCTCACGCTTCTAGGTCTCCCGTAGAACACCTGAGGGGTACATATATTTAAATATATATATGTATGAAGAGTGGAAAAATCAAGTATAAAAGAATAAAAGAAAAATAAAAGAATAATGTAAAGCGAAAGAACATTTCGGATATCTGAAAGACGATTGTCTGATCAACTTAGATGATATCGAGGCTCTATTTAAGTTGTAGCGGATTTTCCATATCGGTAATCTTCCGATTTTTCAGTGAATTGCACGATTCATCAAAGCGGGTTGCTCATTCCTAATGCCTAAAAGCGGGCGCTTCGATTTATTTTTGCAAAATGCTGGATATTCTTATTACATGAGACGAGTTTATAGTTTACCACGTGCTTCTGATGAATCGTGATCTGATAGCCAAAAAGACTGTAGGCATACGATCACTATCAGTGTCAATGCCATATCCAAAAGTAAAAATACATCACAACGGCCAAATAATGCTGAAAAATATAGCGCATTGTTGCATATTTTGTTAGCCAAGCAACATTTACTGCTCCATGCTCATTGCAGATCACTGACCCTTTCACAAAAATCAATGAATCGGAGGTATAGAGAAGAAGTCTTCTTCTTCTTCTTCTAACAGCTCTCACCATTACTGGTTAGGCTGGCTCCAACGGCTACAAGAGTAAGACGCTTCCAAACAGCACGGTCTGATGCCATCGTCTAAGTCCATATATTGCTGGTCCACCTATACGTTCTAAAATCTTTTCTCACCGTATCAGTCCAGGTCTTGATTGGCCCACCTCGCTTTTGACGCCAACCGTCACATGGTTTAAAAAATAACGAAATATGCGTCAATTCCTGTGGTGGACGACGGAGAATGTGCCCTAACCAGCGAAGGCGGCGCTCTGTAGAGGAAAAGTGAAAGAAAAATATATTTTTTGTTTCCTGTCGTCATAATCCAATAGGAAATCCAATCGAGAAAGCTCTTTTAAAAAGGAAAATATTCCTTTGAGTACGATATCACAAAGATTTATTTATTTAAATTTAATTTAATTTAACACAAACCAAATATGGCATATTAAAGTCCTTTGCTGGTATTAACGAAAACAAACGAGACCAAAGTAAATATAATTGAAATGGAATTATACAGAAATTAATAAAATACAAAATAAAATAAAAAAGGAAAAGGAAAAAAGAAATGACCAAATATTAAAAATGGACGGAGGCTGCAATTTTACAAGATGTTATATTATTATTATTATCAAGATACCTTTTAAAATTAGAGAACAATGAGACAAGAACATTAAATTAACTTGTTCCAGTTTCCAGGATTTAATGAAAATTATGGTAGAAAAGATTGATCTTATAAACAATAAACGCAACTTCATTACCTTTACCTTTACCTTTCATTAATCCGCTACCTTTGGTAGCATTAAAATTCAAGTTAACAATAAGTGGCTTAGTGGTAAGGCGAATGACAACGCTGTATCGAGAACGTTTAGGATTAGAATTCGACAGACGTACCACACTTCATTTAGAGGCAATGGGTTGTTGCTTCCATCTCGTATTAGCGATGT